ACATTCGCCAACACAGACGGTGGGAACCATTCAATATGCGACAGACAATATAATAATTAACTGAAACCATCGTTTTCATTCTCGAAAAGTTGACAAGTATTACATTCGATTTGTTTTTATTTGCCAGACACGAACATGACAGGTATGTGTCCTGGCCACTAAACATGGAGATACCTGGCCGACCTGGAGATATGTGGGCCTGCGGGCCGCTCCAAGCAACAGCCTGGTGGACCAAACTCTCACAAGTTGAGCCTGGCCTCGGGCCGGGCTTGGGGAGTAGAAGAACTCCCAGAACACCATCAACCAGGTATCAAGCAGGACCTCTCACGATGTTCAAACGAGAACTTGATAAACACCTCCAAAGGCTACCTGATCAACCAGGCTGTGATTCATAAGTTAGACTGCGAGTAGCTGCGTCTAATAGCCTGGTTGACCAGACCACCAACCACGAGGCCTGGTCAGAGACCGGGCCGCGGGGACATTGATCCATGGAATCACCGTAAGGTAAAGGTAGCCCCCTCATTGTTTCCAACCGATTCATATTAACTAATGTACAAAATATTCAGCCCGTCGTCTCGAGCGCTCACGACGTAAACTAAACTAATGTGCTAAATTGCCCGAACCTAACCTAACCGAGGACTCACGAATAGAAAACGGGCCATCACGTCTATTTTGCGGGTCACTATGATTTTAAATACACCAGTTTTTGGCCTTTGGGGATTTGTACGTCCAAATGCAAATTACTGTTCGAGAGGATGGGTTGTAATATGAACTGTTACAGACAGATTGTTCATGTTCTGTACATGCGTGCTACCTGGTTGATACCTGGTTGATGGGTTCTGGGAGTTCTTCTACTCCCCAAGCCCGGCCCGAGGCCAGGCTCGACTTGTGAGAGTTTGGTCCACCAGGCTGTTGCTTGGAGCGGCCCGCAGGCCACATACCCACCACAGCCCGGTTGGTCCGGCACTGCGACGGACCAAGCACTGCGTGCTGGGTACGACGGTGTCGCCCTCTGATGCTACTTCACAAGACTATCAGTATGTACATGTCTGCTCACACGGGAGCACGTCGCAGCGCTCAACTCACAAGGGGACACGTCGCAGCGCTCAACTCACAAGGGAGCACGTCGCAGCGCTCATATCATTACATTATCAAGAAAGTATACAATGCTTCACCCGTGCTTGCTTGCTTGCAGCATTTTCAACGCTAAACCCTGTCTTGTGCAGCATGCCCGCCTTCAGGTTAGAGACTGCCGGAAGAAAGCCTTTGAAGCAGGTCTTACTTGGATATTTATTCCACGTTTTTACCCAAAACCATTGTCCGAGGCCTGGCTGGCCGCCAGCTGGAAATTTAAAAATAGTCTTCCACTGACCCTCAGGTTACATTTTCTCTTATGACCAACATAACCATGTGATCTTATCCAGGGCGTTAACTGGTTCTGCCAGAGTGCTGCTGCTCGTGTTACTGCCAGTGCCTTACCTTACCTTGAGGTGCTTCCGGGGCTTAGCGTCCCCGCGGCCCGGTCGTCGACCAGGCCTCCTGGTTGCTGGACTGGTCAACCAGGCTGTTGGACGCGGCTGCTCGCAGCCTGACATATGAGTCACAGCCTGGTTGATCAGGTATCCTTTGGAGGTGCTTATCCAGTTCTCTCTTGAACACTGTGAGGGGTCGGCCAGTTATGTCCTTTAGGTGTAGCGGAAGCGTGTTGAACAGCCTAATAATGCTGCTGCTGCTGCTTGTGCTGTTGCTAGAGCGCAGCTGCTAGTGCTAGAGTGCTGCTGCTAGAGTGCTAAACCCTTAACACTACCCTGGTGGTAATCCAGGTGTGTGTGGGCCATCGCGTTGCCCGGGAGCTGGGTTTTGTGGCTTCTTAATCTCGGGCAGCGAGCCGGTGATTATCTTCTCTGGAAATTAAGTGATAAACCTCAGTGGTTGTGCCTTAACAGGGATAACCCCGGCTCGAGTTACTCAGCGCCGCCGCCTCCTCCCCGCCTCACGTAAACACCGCCATTATTAAGCCCATACTGCTTTGTTTTTCTCTTCCTCGTGACAAAAATAACAACAGGCTTTTTGCTAAATTAATCCGTCGTTGCGTCGGTACCTGGTTCGTGCTAATTACTCACTGCCCCTAATTCATGCTAATTACTCACTGCCCATCAATTAGTTCGCAATTTGCCGCATGTTGGTATTATTAGGCTGTCCTGTCTGCTCTCCTCGCCCACAATAAACTCACGGGGACCAGCGGGGATTAAGGCAACGCTCAGAGTATGAGGCCCGACATCCCAGTCTTCAGCCACTAGTGAGCACTCTAGTGTCAGTCCCTCCCTCCTAGCCTCTCACCGCTCACCATACAGGCACGTCTCCTGTGCCAGGTAAGTACTATGAGCTCACCATAGCCCAGTGCTGCGGGAACCTTTTGCTCCGAGTTGCTGAATCTAAAATACAACTAAAACAGCTCATCATAATAGGGAATCTCACCATCGGTGATTAGGGAAGCACCATAACTCATTTTTTTGAGTTATAGAAGTTTGAAGTTATAGAGTTATTGAGTTTGAGCTATAAACATAGAACACGAGCTGCAAGTACGAACAGTTTTGATGTTCAATCAGTCCTCCAATCAGACAGGGAGGCCCTGGGAGGGAGCACTGATCCCTTGAACCAGAAAGCGGCGGCGGCGGCAGCAGGAAGGAGGTGGTAGGACAAGTGATTAAATTAAGATTACCGTCTTTTCCTGCCACCCCTTCTCCAACATCCCCCTCCCTCTTTCCCCTACCCTCCTCCTGTCTCTCCTTCCCTCTCCTCCCCCTCATTAATCGAACGTTGTACAAGAAATACAGAAGAGCCCAGTTCAGGAAATCAGGAAACAAACTCATTTATAACAGAATGATATTATTGTAAGTGAGCCCCTGCCTCTAGTCTATTGATTTTATCATCAGCACCAATGGCAAGCAATCATCATGCCAGGCCAAAATAAACAAAATCAGAGGTGAAAAGTCTATGTTTATTTTACCAAGAATTTTCAATTACTCTCACAAATTAATCATGAATGGCAACACTTGGATAAAAGGTTGAGAGAGAGAGAGTAAGTTAGGCCACGTTCCTCCCAATCATCGGAAACAATGCTTCTAATTTATAGATAAACGCCAGCGGGACCCGAGGCCCATCCCATCCTCAAACCCCCTTCCCATGTCGTCCTTTTTCCATTTCATATCATCCCATTCTCTTTCTATACCAACAACTTCCTTTCCATTCACAGCCCAGCACACAAGTGAAAGTCATCCCATGTCATCTATTTACGCAAGGCTACATACTCTTGTTTATGCAACAATATTCCACCCTAGAGAGCATTAGTGTCGTAAATTACCATCACCGGGTTGTATCTTGTATTTAAAAGGTTCTTGTTATACTACCTATCGTTTCTTCCAATTGTGACAGCCAATTTATTGTTGTTTAGAAGTAAAGTCTTCCGACATGATAACTCCCTCATCTTTTACATGGATTCTTTGTATTTTGTATTTTCAGCGGCCCACTTAAAGACCTTAATACCAGATGGGTTGCCGTGTCCTCTATAGTTTACACTCCTAATCATCATAAAATCACATGTAAAAAATGACATGCGCTTTAGTTTGTGTTCTTGCGTAGTTCGGATATGAATATAAGAGTACTGGAGCAAGCACAGTGCCCTGGTGGACAGCTTTTCACGGTGGGTGATCTGGATTTTACTGTTGTCTATTACACTCTGGGTTCGCTTGTTGGGAAATTTAAGCACCATTTTCTAATTTAAGTCTTGTCAGCTATTCCTTTGTGTACCATTACATCATGGTCACATTTGCACAGAATTTCACGAACTCTGTGTAATTTCATCACATATTTGTTCGTGTTCTTTGGTATCTAAAGCCATGCTACAGTGGTCTAGCAACTGTGAGAGGGAACAATGTCCTGTTCTGAACCCATGTTGTCCAGAGTTATGTAGACGTTGTAACCATGTTGGATTTCCTGTTGCAAATCTAGGAAACCACCTGGTGTGTGAGGCTGGTTGTCTTTGTAGCCCGAAGTCCCATATATATATTCATTACAATCGGGTTGATCAGGTAACTCTAGCAGAAGTCTGTCCGGTTCTCTCGCGAAAGTTTCCGCTGTTGTTCCAGCACCATTTATTATATTTGCTGGCCCGCAACTGAAGATTGGTGGTGTGATGTTTATACTGTGTTCTCTCTGCTTATGGCGTCCCTACATTTCATTGGGTTTATTTTACACTTGCTGATGCTCACTTCCTCTGACCCTGGACGTGGGACTTTAGTGAAATAATTTGCAGTGTATGATACACGTGGTTAACAAAAATCACATTAAAACTCTGCTAAGATAAGGTAATTAGTAGTAACATTAATCACTAATTATGTTGATGTTGTGGTTCCATGTGATTTGTCATCTTACTTTTGGCGAACAACCTCTTAGTTAATTAAGAGTCTAAGACCATTACAGACTGAGGAGCGACTCAAATCACTTTTTTGTTCAAACCATTAATACAAATTATTACTACTACTATTAGATTTAATTACACCATTATTATAGCTATTATTAATGTAATTATGACGATATTATTATCTCTCGTAGTTATCATGGCCTCATCCCTCCGTCCGTCAACCTGGTTAGGCCATGTAATTATAAGGTAAGTTAATTTGCATACATCATCCTGCGGTGAAGCTAAACCCAATACTGCATTTAGCACAACCCGCGCCCCCATGAATGTCCCGACCCACGCCCCCCATAAATGTCCCGACCCACGCCCCCATGAATGTCCCGACCCACGCCCCCCATGAATGTCCCGACCCACACCCCCATGAATGTCCCGACACACGCCCCCCATGAATGTCCCGACCCACGCCCCCCATGAATGTCCGACCCACGCCCCCCCATGAATGTCCCGACCCACGCCCCCCATGAATGTCCCGACCCACGCCCCCCATGAATGTCCCGACCCACGCCCCCCATGAATGTCCCGACACACACCCCCCATGAATGTCCCGACCTACGCCCCCCATGAATGTCCCGACCCACGCCCCCCATGAATGTCCCGACCCACGCCCCCCATGAATGTCCCGACCCACGCCCCCCATGAATGTCCCGACCCACGCCCCCCCCATGAATGTCCCGACCCACGCCCCCATGAATGTCCCGACCCACGCCCCCCCCCATGAATGTCCCGACCCACGCCCCCCATGAATGTCCCGACCCCACGCCCCCATGAATGTCCCCGACCCACGTCCCCCATGAATGTCCCGACCCACGCCCCCATGAATGCCACAACCCACGCCCCCCCATGAATGCCACGACCCACGCCCCCCTATGAATGCCACACCCACGCCCCCATGAATGCCACGACCCACGTCCCCATGAATGTCCCGACCCACGCCCCCATGAATGTCCGACCCACGCCCCCGTGAATGTCCCGACCCACGCCCCCCCATGAATGTCCCCCCGACCCACGCCCCCCCCCCCATGAATGCCACAACCCACGCCCCCCCATGAATGCCACACGACCCCACGCCCCCCATGAATGCCACAACCCACGCCCCCATGAATGCACACGACCCACGTCCCCCATGAATGTCCCGACCCACGCCCCCATGAATGTCCCGACCCACGCCCCCATGAATGCCCCGACCCACGCCCCCCATGAATGCCACGACCCACGCCCCCATGAATGCCACAACCCACGCCCCCCATGAATGCCACGACCCACGCCCCCCATGAATGCCACAACCCACGCCCCCATGAATGCCACGACCCACGCCCCCATGAATGTCCCGACCCACGCCCCCATGAATGTCCCGACCCACGCCCCCATGAATGTCCCGACCCACGCCCCCCATGAATGCCCACGACCCACGCCCCCATGAATGCCACAACCCACGCCCCCATGAATGCCACAACCCACGCCCCCCATGAATGCCACAACCCACGCCCCCCCATGAATGCCCCAACCCACGCCCCCATGAATGCCACAACCCACGCCCCCCCCCCCCACGCCCCCCATGAATGCCACGACCCACGCCCCCCCATGAATGCCACCGACCCACGCCCCCCCCATGAATGCCACAACCCACGCCCCCATGAATGCCACAACCCACGCCCCCCATGAATGCCACAACCCACGCCCCCCATGAATGCCACAACCCACGCCCCCATGAATGCCACAACCCACGCCCCCCATGAATGCCACAACCCACGCCCCCCATGAATGCCACAACCCACGCCCCCATGAATGCCACAACCCACGCCCCCCATGAATGCCACAACCCACGCCCCCCATGAATGCCACAAACCCACGCCCCCATGAATGCCACAACCCACGCCCCCCATGAATGCCACAACCCACGCCCCCCATGAATGCCACAACCCACGCCCCCCCCATGAATGCCACGCCCCCCACCCACGCCCCCCCCATGAATGCCACAACCCACGCCCCCATGAATGCCACAACCCACGCCCCCCATGAATGCCACAACCCACGCCCCCCATGAATGCCACAACCCACGCCCCCCATGAATGCCACAACCCACGCCCCCCCATGAATGCCACAACCCACGCCCCCCATGAATGCCACAACCCACGCCCCCCATGAATGCCACAACCCACGCCCCCCATGAATGCCACAACCCACGCCCCCATGAATGCCACAACCCACGCCCCCAATGAATGCCACAACCCACGCCCCCCATGAATGCCACAACCCACGCCCCCCATGAATGCCACAACCCACGCCCCCATGAATGCCACAACCCACGCCCCCCATGAATGCCACAACCCACGCCCCCCATGAATGCCACAACCCACGCCCCCATGAATGCCACAACCCACGCCCCCATGAATGCCACAACCCACGCCCCCCATGAATGCCACAACCCACGCCCCCATGAATGCCACAACCCACGCCCCCCATGAAAGCCATGCAAACCCACGCCCCCCATGAATGCCACAACCCACGCCCCCATGAATGCCACAACCCACGCCCCCATGAATGCCACAACCCACGCCCCCATGAATGCCACAACCCACGCCCCCCATGAATGCCACAACCCACGCCCCCCATGAATGCCACAACCCACGCCCCCCATGAATGCCACAACCCACGCCCCCCATGAAACCCCATGAATGCCACAACCCACGCCCCCCATGAATGCCACAACCCACGCCCCCCACCACAACCCACGCCCCCATGAATGCCACAACCCACGCCCCCCATGAATGCCACAACCCACGCCCCCCATGAATGCCACAACCCACGCCCCCCATGAAAGCCACAACCCACGCCCCCCATGAAAGCCACAACCCACGCCCCCCATGAATGCCACAACCCACGCCCCCCATGAATGCCACAACCCACGCCCCCAATGAATGCCACAACCCACGCCCCCCATGAATGCCACAACCCACGCCCCCCATGAATGCCACAACCCACGCCCCCCATGAATGCCACAACCCACGCCCCCATGAATGCCACAACCCACGCCCCCCATGAATGCCACAACCAAAGATTCTAGCACAAAGTAATTGAACCACTGTTCAAGAGAAGTTCGGTCATCAAACTATGTATAACCAAAAAAATCATAAATAGGAGACGGCTGGATTAATGACCGTTGGCCAATGTTGTTAAAGATAGGGGAGCCGGTCGGCCGAGCGGACAGCACGCTGGACTTAGTGATCCTGTGGTCCTGGGTTCGATCCCAGGCGCCGGCGAGAAACAATGGGCAGAGTTTCTTTTACCCTCTGCCCCTGTTACCTAGCAGTAAAATAGGTACCTGGGTGTTAGTCAGCTGTCACGGGCTGCTTCCTGGGGGTGGAGGCCTGGTCGAGGACCGGGCCGCGGGGACACTAAAAGCCCCGAAATCATCAAGATAACCTCAAGATAGATGACTATGGGTAGCGCCTCGCCTCACTACACACTCCCCCTCTCTACACATAAGGGGCAGAACTGGTGGACCTTTTAGTGTTCAAACGGGAATTTGATAAACTCCTTCAACTGATACCTGATCAACCAGGCTGAGAATCATACATCAGGGTGCAAGCAGCCGCGTCCAACAGCCTGGTTGACCAGTCCAGCAACCAGGAGGCCTGATCAGAGACCGGGTCGCGGGGACGTTGATCCTGGGAATCATCGAAAAGTCGACAAACGTTAGGACCTAGCTGCTAAACCTGGGAAGGGTGAGACGATTGGGCACTGTTTCTGTACCTATTCGCCATTGTACCTAACAGCAATTGAGTTCCCTGGATGTAAAACGACAAGAGGATCGTGTTCTGGGGAAATATGATTTAACCGGTTCCGATACCAAGCTGAGGTCAAAGTTCTAACAAAAACTGAACCCGAGTGAAGCATTTATCAGAGTGAAACACGTTTCCATGACAAAGTTTTGGTTATTGGAAGTTAGTGAAACAATGTGAGAAATGTTTCGAACTTATTTAGTTGTCGTTCAAGTTCAATATATTTAATTCGTAAACACTGGAGTAAGTCTACACAAATATTTCACAGTTTACTATACATGACATTACAAACCATCATTAAAACAGTCGAGGAATTCTAATGGATTCCCATAATAAAAGCTACAAATTAGTCATTTCAGAATACAAATCATATACTAAAGTTGTTAAAATACTCGAATTCAAACTTCTCGAAAAACAGGCGATTCATATCCACTCGAAATATGAGGATTCAAATCGTTGCCCGGTACATGCCCTTCAGCTGCAGGTGGAAAATCCCCCGTGGATCCATTATTGCCTAACTCGCCTTCCACTTTGATCCCCAGCTAAATCCCGCCTGCCTAATGCTCTTTAACAATTCAGTCGAATCTATTTTAGCCCCTCGGCTGCAGGCTCAGCATTAACGACGACCAGCCCTTGACTGTAGGCCAGATTACCCAGCCCTCCTCCACCTAGGGCTCGTCATTACCTCTATGTAGCGTCATTCACCGCCTACCACACTGCCTCGTGGGCTTTATATAGGTAGCATGAGCGACCACGCGGGCGAGGGCTACCGCATCCTTGTACTGGAAAGTAACAATTCAATTCACATCCCCCAGTTTGCCTGCTCTTGCACATCTATATCCCTGGCTTTCACCAGCTCTCCTCATCCACTCAACACATGTGTACACTTGGCTCGCGCGTGCCTCTGTGTGTGTGTGTGTGTGTGTGTGTGTGTGTGTGTGTGTGTGTGTGTGTGTGTGTGTGTGTTTTATATATAACACACACACACACACACTCGCGTAAACGCTTCAATTAAGTGAAGTCAGTATGCGAGTTATTAGAGCTTTGGTAACTGGGTTCCAACAGACAGTTTCTTGTATGTTCTTAGTTATAACACGCGAGAATGTTACTAGTTTGTGGCTTAGCTCCACCCACTTGTCTCTCCCTCTCCGGCCTCCACCACTGCTGGAGGCGGCAGGGGAGCCCCAGCCTCCACCACTGCTGGAGGCGGCAGGGGAGCCCCAGCCTCCACCACTGCTGGAGGCGGCAGGGGAGCCCCAGCCTCCACCACTGCTGGAGGCGGCAGGGGAGCCCCAGCCTCCACCACTGCTGGAGGCGGCAGGGGAGCCCCAGCCTCCACCACTGCTGGAGGCGGCAGGGGAGCCCCAGCCTCCACCACTGCTGGAGGCGGCAGGGGAGCCCCAGCCTCCACCACTGCAGGAGGCGGCAGGGGAGCCCCCGGCCTCCACCACTGCAGGAGGCGGCAGGGGAGCCCCAGCCTCCACCACTGCAGGAGGCGGCAGGGGAGCCCCCGGCCTCCACCACTGCAGGAGGCGGCAGGGGAGCCCCCGGCCTCCACCACTGCAGGAGGCGGCAGGGGAGCCCCAGCCTCCACCACTGCAGGAGGTGGCAGGGGAGCCCCCGGCCTCCACCACTGCAGGAGGCGGCAGGGGAGCCCCAGCCTCCACCACTGCAGGAGGTGGCAGGGGAGCCCCGGGCCTCCACCACTGCAGGAGGTGGCAGGGGAGCCCCAGCCTCCACCACTGCAGGAGGTGGCAGGGGAGCCCCGGGCCTCCACCACTGCAGGAGGCGGCAGGGGAGCCCCAGCCTCCACCACTGCAGGAGGCGGCAGGGGAGCCCCAGCCTCCACCACTGCAGGAGGCGGCAGGGGAGCCCCCGGCCTCCACCACTGCAGGAGGCGGCAGGGGAGCCCCAGCCTCCACCACTGCTGGAGGCGGCAGGGGAGCCCCAGCCTCCACCACTGCAGGAGGTGGCAGGGGAGCCCCAGCCTCCACCACTGCAGGAGGTGGCAGGGGAGCCCCGGCCTCCACCACTGCAGGAGGTGGCAGGGGAGCCCCGGCCTCCACCACTGCAGGAGGCGGCAGGGGAGCCCCAGCCTCCACCACTGCAGGAGGCGGCAGGGGGGCCCCAGCCTCCACCACTGCAGGAGGTGGCAGGGGAGCCCCAGCCTCCACCACTGCAGGAGGCGGCAGGGGAGCCCCGGCCTCCACCACTGCAGGAGGCGGCAGGGGAGCCCTGGCCTCCACCACTGCAGGAGGCGGCAGGGGACGCCACCTGAGGGGCCCTACAGCACCCCTCAATTTCATGTTTAAACTTTTAAGGTTTTTCTTGCGTGTAGCGGATGGAACGTCACAAGAAGAGAAGGTCGATACGCAGTCACGGATAAGTTTAGCAATCAATAAGTTACAATTGTATACGGTATGTTGTACCCTTTTAATAATCAATGAAGAAAATTATAGAATTAGGAGAATTTAACTTCAGACACGTGGATAAAGACGTGTGATATCATGCGTTAGGCTGAGCTGTGCCACACTGATGTGTCGTGATCTGCAGGAATGATTCCTTCATTACCAATTCAAAAGTAATGGTTGACAGCCAACTAATTTTAGAA